CCACGTTGAGCTGTAATCATATTCCTGTACTACTATCACATTGTATATTGCTTTGTGTTTACTGATCGATTTTAAAGTCTGACTTGTTGTGACTTGTTCCGTGTAGTGGTTGTTTAGGTCGTGAACTTTGTCATTCATCAATGTTCCCACATATGTGTATTATTGTTTAGGTTTAAAGAATGAATTTAGTGTTATTTATTACAGAAATGTATCAAATGAGGGTAGTGTGTTCGTCACCTTAAAGAATACTCTGTTGCTGTAACTATTAGGGATATCTTATTTCTTCTGATGTGGATGTTCGATAAGGAAGTACTATAGTACTTATCAAATCTTTATAGCTTGGCTTTTCCGTGTCCTTTTTTTTAATCCTTTTTAATAGCTTTTCCCAATAGTTGTTTTGTTTTAAGACTTCCCGAACAAGTTGCTTATCTGCTTGCTGAGATTCTACTTTATTTGGCATACTTTGTTATCTCGTCAACAGATTTTCGAAAAGGTTTAGCTTATTACTATTTATTAACATACTTGTTATTCTCCGTTGTTGTTTTCTTGTTGGATCGAATTGTTCGACATCTATTGGCAAATGCGCTCCTATGCGGAAGCCTCGATATTGCCTGAGTGTTAATTATGATAATTTGATTGGTTGTGGTTTAACTTAGTTTCCAAAGTGTAATCCAAATCGAAGTCAATGTACTTGTTAGAATGTGTATCTTTCGATAGACATCAACGTCAAGCGCCCCATCGTTGTTTCATATTGCCTTGCAGTCTAGGAAACTTAGCATTCTGAATTCTGTTTCTAGTTCATATGTGAATTTTATAGAATTGAAACGACTGTTAAGATATTCAAAAAAATTTTCTAGACCTTGTTTCTTGGTTATGACGAAGGTGTCGTCAACGTGCCTGCACCATATTCTTGGTTTTAAATTGTTGGCTAAGTAGGTCTGATTCTACTTTGTGCATGTATAGATTAGCTAGAATGGGTGAGACAGGTGAACCCATTGCTATCCCACTGGTTTGACGATAAAGGTCTCCTCGAAAAGTAAAAAAGGTTGGTGTCAAACATAATCTCAGTGCATCACAGATTTCACTGATGGAAATGTTGCATCTAAGCGTTAAAGAAGTATCGAACTCTAATAAAAATCTAACAAGTTATATGCTTTCATCAATCGGAATATTTGTTTACAGAGAAACAACGTCAAAGCTAACCATTGTTTCATCATCTTCAATGGTTGTTTGTAATAATTTATGCTTGAGGTCTAGTGAATTTTTAGTGATACTTACCACGTTGTCTTGTAGTGGTTTAAGGACTTTGTGAAGTATTTTGAAAGGTTATATGTTGGGGAATTAGTAAAATCCACAATTAGACGAATCGGAAAATTGCGTGTGTGAATTTTGCTAAGGCCACAGAAGCGTGAAGTAGCATAACTTTGGTGCTAAATTAAACCCCAAGGCAATGCTTAATTTGGACTTCAGATTGTATGGTAATTTGTTGACCTGTAGTTTTACCCTGTTAAGTGTAGGCTTACTCTTCTTGTTTTCTATCAATTCATAAGGTCCACTGGATAAGTGCCCCGTGACCTTTTGTTCATAGTCTGATGTGATCATGACAACACTTACGTTTCCTTTGTCAGCTTTCATAATCTGTATATTCTTATCATTTTTTAAAGAGCAGAGTACACGTTCCTCTTTTTTTAATGATATATTCATGTTTGACCGTTTTTGATTGATAAGATCATGTGAGACTTTATATCTAACTTCTTCTGCAATATCCTGCTGGATTAGTTTTAGTGCCGGTTCTAATGGTGGGGCGACTTCGAGTATGGTCATTGGTGGGCGATTTAAATTAAAGTTTAGTCCTTTGGATAATAGTGAATCTTCCTGCTCGTAGCCTCCTTCGGTCAGCAGAAAAGGTGGGTTAAACATCCCACAAATATGGGAAACAATGACTCGCATAGGCAGTTGTAAATAATATATGAAGAGAAGGTCGAAAACAATTTCATTCCACATGATTTATTCCGAATTTACTCTTCCTTGAATAGTTTCTGGTGTTATTTCGCTTAATCGTCTTAATCACATAAAAAAATGGTTATATTTCAACAGCTTGTCTAGTCCTATTACAAAATGCTTTATTGATCTACTATTTTCACCAATTTTACGCTCCTTTCCGAGTTACCTATATTCTATGAATCATTCTATATACTACATAATCCATTTTGTTATCATTCATACTTCAACTGTTATCAAAAGTACCTTTATCTTATCATTATTATTATTTATCTATTTTATTGTGTGTTCAAATATTCCTCCTTCCAAATTAGTAATCTGTTCTTTCTCACCCTTCATGACTCACAACCCCATTGCAGTTTTCATAGTCGAGCTAAATTTCCCCATCTTATTTTTGTTCAACCTTATTTGCACAACTGAAAAATGTCTCTCTGACCGACTTACTTATTCACTCACCCACATTACATTGATCTTTGTTCCGTATCACGACGTAATTGGATGATTGTAAAGGTCACCTTCTGCACCAAAACTTGAATATTAACCTGATAACCAGATTCATGCTCTTGAAAGGATCTTCCTAGCAAGATCGACACGTTGAGGAATGATAACAAATATGTTTTTATTTGTTCTAATATTACCACGCCGAGATTGCACAAGTAAAAATACACATACGATGAATCATACTAACTTGGTGCCCAAGTTTATCAAACCATCCGGTCCATTGTTGGTCAGTATACCTTCAAACATAATTTCATCCTTCATATTGTATATCGAAATATACACATAACAAAAACCGAACATACTTGTAACAAGTTGGTAAGTGGTTATTGACAGGAATATGTGGTAACATAGACAAAGTAACTGATTAAATTAGGACAGATTGCTTATTTACATTGTCTGTGTTACTGGTTCATCACCGTCAGTATGTTGGATTCTTGCTACGTGTACATTTTGATATTGTTTAGGTTGAAAGCAACTAAGAAGAATCTTCAAAACAATAAAGATGATCTCATTTTATTCCTGCCATAAGTGTTGTTTTTGTGCTGTTCGGGTTTATTACATAATAGTTCATGAATGATAATGGTGCTTACTGGTATGGAATGACTTCAGATGAAATATTTTCACCGAATCATGTTTCTATCGCAACCGTACTTAAGCGACTATAACATTTAGATAGTTCATTCTATGATCAAAGATTATGGAATGTGGCCAAAAGTAGAGTTACCACCCTGTTATTTAAGGAAAATATGTGTTGTTCTCTTGAATACTAAGCTTGTAGAAAAGAATTAGCTCCAAATATTCGAGAAAAGCATTCAAATAGTCGATACATAGTGTAATTAAGCGCTTCTTTTTGAAATCGAGTTCATCAAAATTTATATGACATGTGCAGAAATAGATTTGGCTTTTCATATACGCGTTACGAAAAGCATTTCCAATAAACTGCAGACATACATGACCAAAAGCTGCCACATACCCTCACTCGATACTGAAGATCAGATAGCCAGAATAATAAGTATAAGCAACCAGGAATTCTGGCTGGCTGGCTGACTGACTGACTGACTGGCTGGCTGGCTGGCTGGCTGGCTGGCTGGCTGGCTGGCTGGCTGGCTGGCTGGCTGGCTGGCTGGCTGGCTGGCTGGCTGGCTGGCTGGCTGGCTGGCTGGCTGGCTGGCTGGCTGGCAACGAATCAACCAACAACCCATCGCTCAACAAATATGCAGAAGCAGAAAGTGGAGATGGATTGAATTGGACATACACTGAGAAGATGGTTTGGGTTCATCACGTGCCAGGCCAGGTCGTCGAGTGGAAGTCAAATGGGAAAAGACGAATTGGGGGTCCGAGGCGAAGGTGATATGGAGGAGATGGTGTGAGGAAGAAATGAAAGCTTGTGGGTAGTGGTTGGGTCAGGTTCGAAAGACTGCAGAGAAGGGAGTGAAACGGAGATGTGCTATTCAAGCTCTATGTACCACTAGGAACCCATGGGACAAATAATAAAATTAACACAAGAAGACAGTAAGAAGTCCATAGCCAAAGGTATCCTACAGGTAAGACCAGCAATATATCAATCGAGACACGACTTTGCTTCTAAATAGTAGTCAAACATTCTGTGCTTCAATATCGATGGCTAGTGTTGCTGCCTAAAATGAAACAGAAATCAAGCATTTCGTTCGAATCGCATCTGAGCCTAATAGTAAATTTATCATAAATCAGTAGCGAAACTTTAATCACCATAAAATTGTCTACTCTTAAACGTTCAACTACAACTTCAATGTATGAATACTGTATGACTGGTTGGAAAGGTGGACTCATATAACAAGTTGTATTTGTTATGAAAAGTCTTTAATCAGTGATCAGTAGACTACTTATTGTTATGTCAATAGTGGTAGGCTATGTTAACTTAGTTTTTGAAAAACATATTAGCAACTGTGTGAAACTCAGAATTAATGGTCACAACCATTACGCATGACGATATGAATCTATGGATTAATGGGTACTTGATTACTTCTTAGACTACAGACACGCTTTATTGAGTTGTTTCATGAGCATGAGAAGCAGTTAATACGTTTATTAAAATCTTTGAACACGAAGCCATCTTACCAAACCAGAATTTCATTCAATTGCTGAGGCCTAGTACAATCTGATAAAAACATTTCTGAAAATAAAAAAAGTTTTATTTTGAAGAAGGAAAAACAACTTTTATCTTCAGCAAACAAAAAGACGCAGCTATCAGTACTTACTTATTTCGGTGAACCCATACAGGCTTCACTCTTATTATGTATATACATATCTTGTGTTTGCAATCTTCATTGTGATAATGATTTGTAAACTCTGCTTTTAGCGAATAATCATGAATGGCAAAGACACTACTGATACAAAGTTATGAGATATAGTTTGCATTTTATCAATAATTTTGACCTTTTAAATGTTTAACATACGAACTTCAGACACTAGTTCCGAGAGGTATCTTCAATGTGTACATATTTTTTCAATTAATCCAGGCATTTGCGGACAGGCAGTTGGTGTTCACCTATACGATGTGTTTGATATACTTGGTCGTTATCGATTTCGTTGGAGATCACCGGATATACTATTAAACAGTACATCTTACAAAACATTGAAATGGCGTCCAGTTAAACTACGAGGAAATGCTTTGTATGCAGCACCTCACCAGGTAGGTAGTTTAAGACAGATTGTTTTTGTACACCTCTACTGTGTTCCGAAATTTAGTTTTCCCCTTTATCCTCATCGGTTTTATGAAAACAAAATAAGAGATGAGCTGAGAATGTTCTTGCAAATGACTTCTGCTGGCAATATTTATTCAGAGATGAACAGGTGTATATAGATCACCTCACAGAATTAACTTCTCAGAATAACCGAATTTCATACAGCTATTTCTATTTATAAACTTTAATAAAGTAAGAGACCGTTATAGAAAGCTAATACAGACTCAATTAATGTGAAGATTCCCCTCAGTAGTTTTCAAGGTAAGTCTGTTAGTTGGTTGGCGACAATTGGCAGGAAGCCCTGGACCTAGGTTGCGTGCTTTTTGGCACTCATCAGCAAGGCATATCTGCTATCTCTATGGGACTGATATACCGCTTGCGATTTAAACACGCATCACTCAGTGCTGCAGTCAAGGAAGTTATCACTGAACTATTCAGGCTGCGACTGACCTTCATTCGGACCGGAGAACTGATTGCTTTCCCGTGAACCATAAAACTCAATGAGCACTTAGGACTAGACAACATGAAGTGAGTTACGCTCCAGTGACTAATCAGGGCACAACGTAATTCTTTCGCCTCAGTCAATTCAACCTGGTGACATTACCAAAGTATTTTATTTCTGCTGGATATGTTGCATATCATGGGCCGTAATTCTGCGAAGCTAATCCTGGTATTGAGTAAATTTACATTCTTTTTTGAAGCTATACTTATTGCCCTGTTCAAACTTCAGTTTATAACCATTGTCAGTGCAGTGAACAGTTTCGATCAAATTCGTAGAATTTACTGTTTGTACATAAAACTGTGATAACAAAGAGCATCTTACCATGTATGAAGGGATCAACTTTGCTGTGGGATATGTTCTATTCATTAGGAATTTCAGTCTTCTGTTGATTTTTGCAGAGATATCATCATCTTTGATGCTGAGTTCAGTGCAAACAGGCTACTTCCTTACTGTAATTTTCTTTAATTTACTGTCTTCAGATCTTCCATATCTGCTGATAAGCATCCATTGTCTCGCAGGATCTTCCGAAAGCTCAATAAATCATCTTTCAATTTACCACTTAGAAATATCCTTTTAGTTCTATAAAAATGCTATAAGGAAACAGAATACACCAACTTTTCACAAGAACTACCCACACGCTTTCAGCTACCTAGACCTACTAATAGCATGAGTGCCTATTTTTACTGCTTTCATCTGACATTCTTCAGGTTTGTCAAAGACCATTTCCCACTTATGAATGATATGACACAGGCAGTGATTACCATCTCATTTCTGGGCCTTTAATTGTTGTATTGTACTCATTGTGAGGCTATTTCAATACTAAAACACCAGTAGTATTCGATATATGGTTACGAACATTAGCGAGTCCTATAATTTCGTTTCTCATTCACATTATCTCCTTCCATATAAGGGAGGAATTTAATATATATATATATATATATATATATATATATATATATATATATATATATATATATATATATATATATACGATAAAGGATACATCCGCCGTTCAAATGTATTGGCATATATTTTTAAACTACTATAGTAGGAATGAGATTGGATTGTTTAGTGAAAAGTAGTGGCATTGACTGAAGTATGCATCACATCAAAATTGACCGAAATTGTTTGTTAGCATAAAAATTTTTCAGAAGGTTACTGTTTTAAATAAAGCAGATATTCTTGTGAAATCTTCCTTGATATTCGATCGAGAACAATATTGAAGAATATACCTGGTTGTCTATCTCTATGGGTTAGAGGAGAAGTATTTTGAAACATCTTCCTTACATTGACAAAATAATGTGGTAATCTGCTGTTGATGTCTGTGTCCGCTTTCGCTTCATGTTCATTATATATGTAGGACAATCCTGTATGATCTGTGGTTTCCTGGGCACACCGATGCTGGCATTGACTTTGAACAAGCGAATGTGCCGTTCTTTGCTTGTATCAATCTCATCTAGCTATCAGAGAACTTTGATAAGTATAAGTAGTTTCCAACTGTCTATGCTGTTCGGCAATCTATTTGTTCATGTTGATGCTTATTACTATCAGCTGTGATTAGTATATGGGATAGATTTTTCTTCAGTATGTTGCTGATCAGTTGGATATACTTTCTTCCTCAGTTGATGTTCATGTTTCTACTTTGCCATGACTGAAAATTCAGGCTTTCAAGGCAAAAGCTTTATTCGCTCAGCTATCACGTCAAGAAAACGCACACTGAAAACCTAAACTATTCCTTTATATTTGGATAATTGTAAGACTGTTTCAGCGAATAGCGTTACACCTAGTCTCTTGAGGAGAAAATCCACGGGTCACTCTAGCAACTGTTGACATTATCAACTGGGTTTGGATATTTCCCCCGGGGAGGTAGTTTTTTACCGAATTAATAAACGTAATTTGTTATCTCAGCATTTACTGGGGTGGCCGTGGAAGTCATTAATTTTCTCATTCTTCCTAAATGAAACCAATCGCACACAGGATGTGATGTTTTCAAACCTCTAGCCAGCAGTCCCTTTATTTAGATTTACAGCTGATGCATCTTTGAAGAGTAATAGTATGTCCACAAAACAGTAAATTACAGATTTAAGACGAAACCAATTCCGCTGCAAAATACAGGAAATAATTAAAAATTGGTGGGAAATGAAACAACTATCAACGGGTTAGACAAAATCTTGTAGAAATGGTTACGAAATAATACCGTAAAATAGCTTCTGAATAAACCATCTGTTAAGATAAATACAAACTTTACATCTTAGTTGTTTTCGATGCGCCATAGCAGCAAGTATCATCTACTGATTATTCACAAAACTGTGGTGTAGTTAACGTAAGAACCTGGGTACTGAAATTAGATATACTTGTGCAAGGTTTTGTGTAAAGCATGATATGATATCAGGTTAAATACTTTTCATGATAGAATTTTGTTTTATTACTGAATAATTCAAAATCTTATTCAATTAAAATAAGTTTCATTTTCCATTGAAACTATATAAGAAAGCAATGTATTGTGCATATTTTTCTTATTTTCCCTTCATTATTATTGCATTCTACTGTCTTCGTTGCCTCAATTGCAACTTGGTGATTATCGCGTACAAAATCTGTATAACAAGTCATTGCTTAGTGATGTTGGGGTTACTTTTCACTATGTTACACCAGATATGATGTACATGTTGGAATATTTTTTATATTACTTGCGACCAGTTGGATTAGTCAATGATTTCGTTCAATTACCAGATCACATTTGTAATCAACAGTAAAATAAGCTGCAACTGAACCCAAAAACAAGCATTGGTAAATTTGTTCACCATGGTGTTTGCACTCTTCTTCATATTTCTCTTATTTTGATAGTAAAAGTATACAAGTTATGCATGTACACATGCTTACACATTGTTATTATTTATTATTTGTCCCATGGGTTCCTAGTGGTACATAGAGCTTGAATAGCACATCTCCGTTTCACTCCCTTCTCTGCAGTCTTTCGAACCTGACCCAACCACTACCCACAAGCTTTCATTTCTTCCTCACACCATCTCCTCCATATCACCTTCGCCTCGGACCCCCAATTCGTCTTTTCCCATTTGACTTCCACTCGACGACCTGGCCTGGCACGTGATGAACCCAAACCATCTTCTCAGTGTATGTCCAATTCAATCCATCTCCACTTTCTGCTTCTGCATATTTGTTGAGCGATGGGTTGTTGGTTGATTCGTTGCCAGCCAGCCAGCCAGCCAGCCAGCCAGCCAGCCAGCCAGCCAGCCAGCCAGCCAGCCAGCCAGCCAGCCAGCCAGCCAGCCAGCCAGCCAGCCAGCCAGCCAGCCAGCCAGCCAGCCAGCCAGCCAGCCAGCCAGCCAGCCAGCCAGCCAGCCAGCCAGCCAGCCAGCCAGCCAGCCAGCCAGCCAGCCAGCCAGCCAGCCAGCCAGCCAGCCAGCCAGCCAGCCAGCCAGCCAGCCAGCCAGCCAGCCAGCCAGCCAGCCAGCCAGCCAGCCAGTCAGTCAGTCAGCCAGCCAGAATTCCTGGTTGCTTATACTTATTATTCTGGCTATCTGATCTTCAGTATCGAGTGAGGGTATGTGGCAGCTTTTGGTCATGTATGTCTGCAGTTTATTGGAAATGCTTTTCGTAACGCACCAAGTCTCTCAACCATCACATCAAAGCACTGATTCACTTGACTGACATTAGTGTTGAAAATCCGGATGTTGTTTATGCACGCTTTATGCTGAGTGCAGTGCAGTGGAGTACAGTACAGTAGATCTTTACACTAATTTCAGGTTAATGAAGGTCTGTCTTGTTGTCTTTCCGATCCTGGCTTTGACATCCTCATCTGAGCTGCCACCACCGCCGCCTGTAGTTGAAACGATGCTGCCTAGGTAGGGGAAATAGACTACTTCCTTTAGGTTTCTCTTGTTGATAGTGATTGGTGCTTGTGGTTGTTGTTGATCAGGTATCTTCATCTCATCTGTCTTCTCAGATCAGCAACTGGCCAGTTGCTTTGTATAATGAACAATCTGCCTTTGTACACAACCAAACTCCACAGGAATAGGTGAAGTGGTTAGCAGTGACGATTTGTCCTTCTCATACATGCTCACCATTGGGCGACAAGTGAAGGTTATTTGCATGGTGGCTGCATGGAATGTTTCTTAACAGCTTTCGCTAGTCTGTGTTTTAGTGAAATGTTGAGTGAAACAAGATCTCCAGGACCTAATTATCACTGCTTTGAGCATTTCGAAGTGCAACTTACCTTGTTTACTCCATTGACAATATCAAGCATAGTACGTAATAGTTCACAGTTGTTAGTCCATTCAACAGTCTAGAAGTTTATAAACGTCAGGTAGTGACGTGTCGCAAAATACCTGATTCAGATGAACTATTTGCACCTCTTTAAGAGGACCAATTTTAGACCTTCGGATAAACTGACATGCCCAATGTAGTTTGACCTGGCCTCAACCAAGGTTGCAGAGAACCTTGTTACCACTGGGTCCTCGTACTTCAGTTGACTTCCTTTATGAGTGGACTAGGTACGCTGATTGTAGGTCACCCAATTTTATGATGATTTGTCCTGAGTGCTAACATCTAGCTGCAATACTGGGTGACGTGGGGTTGAATTTTAGAGGGGACTTCAGTCCCTTTGAGGTTGCATGTAAACCTTGCTGACAAATACCAGTAAGCACAAGATCTTACTCCACAGCTTCCTGCCGATTACTTTGAATCAACTAACATCCACTAAAATGCACCGTGACAGTCAGCCTCCTAGCTTGATGGCCACATTGTGAAATGTTCTATGGGATTCATTCAGCACTCAGGACTAGACAAGATGAAACTGGATGCTGTCCATTGACCAGTCATACATATCGGTGGACAAACAAAGACACGTTACACCGGCTGAATGATAAAAAAAGAATCTTAGGTGAATATTATCCACTGTATTATTTTTTATCGTGAGGGTTACTTTACTTATGACTTATTGAACAACATTCTATATTATTTTATAGCTCGGTTAAAGAGCTTTCCATTGACTCTTCATTCATTTTTAGATGACTTATGGTTGTGAAATACTTGCGTGCTGAGTGGGATTAACTACTGTGTATTATCTCACTTTTTGTGCCTGAAATTGTATGTTCCATTGTTATGAGTTACGGTGCACTGTGGACAGGAAATTCGGTTGTATATACAAATGATTCAGATGTTTTAAAATATACGGATAATGAGAGCAAAATTTTGTTCTGTTTAGTTAGGTTACAGGGCCGAATTGCGGGGCTCGTCTTGTCAGTGAATTGAGCTTACGAGATAGGGCCAATATATACCAGATTGAGTACTTGCAAAATCAGCGTCCGAAGTAAATCGGATAAATCACGTCGTCCAGACGAGTATTACTCGACGGAGACAGAGACAACAGAACAGAATTACACTGATTAGGAAATCGGATAGATTACAGAGTTACTGTTTATTCCAAGTGTTATAAAAGCCATAGTATCAATCGGTGTTGTCGGGTATACTTAGATAAATTCACAAATTATGCATATATATAATGTTGATTTTCACACTGTGATATTTTCCATGAAATGTTAAAATGATTAGAAAAACAACCGTTGTTTTCGCAATTTTTGCAGGGTTATGTGCAATTTATTGACTGATTTAACAGGCCACTATGGTCTGTAGGGTCCAACAACTATACACGGTTAGTATTATGGAGCTTACTTTGTTTAAGTTAGACACAAATATTGTGAATATGCAAAAGAGGTTTAAGTACCTGATTCGTATTTCTAACTGGAACATGAATCAGGTGTATATACTGCATTCATTTGTATTTTCACGCCTGTTAATTGAAAGCAACTGTAAGTTAGGTTTTCTATCTACCAGCCTATTAACAATTACTACAACTTTTATAGGTGGCAAACTTCCTGAAGTAAATTTAATTCTTCCAGGGTTACGGAATACATTCCAAAATGGTTGCAATAAAAACCAAATAGAATGATCCCATTCACTCCAAAAATAGATGGTCATCTTCATCAACAGCTAAGCATATCATTGAAATGGGTGACAGAATTGATTTGTATACATCTTTCAAACCTGTTTACAAAATGAAATTGGGGATATATGCTTAAGTGTGCTGGAGCTCTGGCTATAAGAAAGCTTGAATCCCTTTTATGTCTTCAAAAGCATTTTATTGTTACATTAGACCTACACTGGTAACTCAGCGTCAACGCTAGAGTCATTATTACAGTTTTTCTCTGTCTATCTAAACTAACGAGTCAGCCCTGTATTATATCGACTAATAATTCACCTGCTCTCGTTGAGCGGGTTTAGTTCGTAGGCCACAGAAAGCGTATTCTGCCCAAATGCATCTCCAAACACCATCCTGAATAGACAAGGGAAGAGTCCAAAGCCATTAACAGCTCGATTTTTGAGCATCTGGTTAACTGTGTTTACTCTGCTGCACGAGAATCTTCCCCGAAATTCATTCATAAAGGGAAATCAAACATTTCGAAGGAAGTGTGCAGTAGCCACTTGAACAAAGCAGGTGCTTTGGAACTTCTGCGGATCAGGCTTGATCTCTGCGTTCAAAAAAGATATGTTCAGTCGCTAATTTTTCCTTGGTCATAACCTTTATTCAGTTTAATCCCATAAGCTACTACAGGATGACCTTGAGTTGATCTTCAAGCTGCTAACACCTTGTGACTTGATTGGTTGTTTTTGATGACTTTGTACTGCTGGTGGATATATATTTTGTTGAAGTGTTTCGTCGTTCCACTTACCTTTTGTTATAATTCATATGAATACGCATGAGTAGTAAATGTGAGTGACCAGATTGCTGAAAATGTATTGCGTTAATACATCACATACTTTTCAGATAAACTAGGTTTATTTTTATTCTTATTTTGTCGAAATTATTAAAGGCGACTAGATACTTCAAGTTAATTATTCACTGCTTGAATGACTGCATTTTATTTCGACCACCAAGGTAAATTGTTTGAAATTTAATTTAAATAGTCCATTATTTTTAAAATCTTTACAGAATTTTTATGTTTCTGTGATAAAAATCAAAATAAATGAAATGATACAAACCTCTTGGGTTACAACTATTATAGTTAGTATCGGAAATTTTCGTGGAATGATAAACAGTTGACCTGATAAAATACTTATGTATTAATTCTACTTCTTATGACCTCAGGAAGTAATCCTGTCTACCGGTTAAGCATAAACTTGAGACAGAAACGAAATGCAATTGAATCATCACCGATTTAAGTGATAATGATCATGACGAAGTCATGACAACCAAGATTTGTAAAATAAAAACAAATTTCAGTGACAACTCACAACTTAATAATGACAAGACTGTGGCACAATTATCTATGAACTTAATATACCAAACATATTTGATGACGATATTTCACTATGTAGTTGACCTAATAAGTGAATAAAAGAAATAGTTGTAAATTACATTCAGAACTTGTAATCATTTTCCTAAAAATGTATGTTAACCAATCGAGGATTTACAATTGTGTAATATGGGAAAGATTACTGAAATCTGAAGAGGTATCTAGTGGGATTTCAACGAGCAACCTCAGGTTACTGACTTGATGCCCCACTGAGTTTCAAGTCAGCTTCTGATTGGGTGTCTGTTTTGCCGCAGTCACTGGAATTCCACCTCATTATCAAGTGAATTAGTTATAAAAGAATAAAAACGTCAGGGAACAAATTTGTTTTGGGCGCTACCAGCTTCGGTAGCTATACAATCACACTTAAATGTATCTAGTGT